GGTAACTTTTTTGAAATTCCTGAACCAGTTTTAGATCCCAGTCCGGGAATGTATGCAGATGTATATGTTAATTTATAAATAACCACATGATTTGCTTGATGTTAAAATTTAAACGTACTGTTAACAGATTCTTTAAGATTTAGGAAGTATTGTTGGTTTGTTTCTTTGCTCATTATGTTATACTTAGTATTTTAAAATAGTTTCTGCATTGTTTTTAATTGTTTCGAAACTTTTTCAATTTTTGGTCAGATATATTCAAACAACTACTTGTGAATCAAAAATTTTTGAAAAATATATTTATTTTGTACCAGAATTTATTTTCTTTTTGGGATAAATTATACTTTTTTTAGTTTTTTTAGGGGGATGGGGGTGTATATTATATATTGCGCAGTTTTTAATTCACAACAATAAGGTTTTTTTTCGGATAGCAAAAAAGCTTGCGAATAGTGTCAAGTTGCTGAATTGTTTTGATAGCAAATTTTTTATCTTCGCTAAACATCATAAACAATAAAAATAATCTGGTTTTCTAAAAAAATTTCCTTTGGATGTTTTGTTAATAAAAAAAATGAAAACACAAAGTGTTTGAATTACACTAAGTTAGTGTGAATTCATTGTAGGAAAGTAGACCTTCAATAAATATTATCTAGTAAGATAATAATGGGTTTTTTTTATATAAGTTTGCTTTTTCTTAATTTTGCAGTTACGCAATATTATTTTATTAAATTACGCAACAGTAGCGTATTGCAATACCAAAATCTATCAGTTTCAACAAACCGATGATCCCTTACCTCGATACGCCCATATTGCGCATATCTCATTACTTCGGTCGATTTTTGTGCTCATGTCCTACTACTAAAAATAGATTAAGAATATGGTATCCGGTTTATATATACTAGTGTTAATGGTATAATATTCGCACTTGCATAAATGAAATATAAACATCTTTTGCTTAAAGAAATTAAAGTTAAAGTAGCGACGCAGTAATGGGCACACTTAATTGTTAGTACATTTTAATTTTTTATTTCAAGCTTCAAATTAAATTTTTACTAACAAGTGAAAAAAATTTAACAGGATAAAAGGAGCCTCTTTTATTTATCATTTGAGAATAAATTTATTAACAACTCTTATTGCTGTCAACACTTTTTTTTATCAAAAATGTAATGTAAAAACAACAACCGTGTTGTTGTTATCTTTAATATAATAAATTAGCGCCTTACTGTTTTATTTCCTGAAGCAATAGAGGAAATTACTTTAAATTTAATTGTTTGAATGACATTTTTTATTGTACTTGATTTAATATGGTTTGAGAACATAAAAAGCAGTTATATATATATATATATATATATATATATATATATATATATATATATATATATATATATATATATATATATATATATATATATATATATATATATATATATATATATATATATATATATATATATAGACACCACATGAGTATGTAAGTATTTTATACTAGGACAGCTATTTAGTAACAACTTTGTATTATTATTAGTTAATTATTTTATATACGACTTATTTGATTGTTTATTAGCTATTGTAATTACTTTACTTCTTTGAACTAATGTAATTAGCTGTGTTTTGGCCTTCATACAGGGCCGACGTCACCGGGGAGGGGGTCAGGGGTGCCTTCCCTCGTTTTTTCTAAAGGATCTTTTTTTTTTTTTAAAAAAATTTTTTGATTTAGAGGACTTTTTTCACAAATTGATGATTGTGCTCCCCCCCCCCTTCACTTCAAAACCCGTGTCGTGGGCCCTATTATACTATTTCGGTTTTATAATTTATTCCTTTAAATAATACTATTTAAAGGAGTAAATAATAAAATCGAAAATATAAAATTGAAATATAAAATTATAAAATCGAAATACAAAATTATAAAATCAAAATATAAAATTGAAAAATAATTCCATTATAGTTAATTATAAAATTGAAATATCTTTTAAACCGTAAAATGGTATTTACGATCCAAAATCAAAATGGAACTACTTTCGGAACCAAACTTTGTGTACCACGTTGTTTTCAAACTTTTTTTATAGGTACAAACAGAAACGGTTTTTAGCGTTGTATCTTTTTTGAATTTAGATTATTTTTGGGTATAAAAAAATCAAGCTTGAATTTTATAAGAATTTTGTGCAACGTTGGCAAATTTGTACTGATTTTTTTGACAATTAAAATTTAGTTACTTTTCTCGCTTTTAATTGGTGTCGAATGAATGCTGAACTATTTAAATCTGTGTAATTTACTGCACTTTCTTTGATGCCCATTTTTTAATGCCCAAAAAAACTGTCATATTTTTGTACCAAATTTATGTTTTTCTGAATAAGATATTTGGTGAATGAAGGGGGGGGGGGCATGGATTGATTTAATGTTCATAAAAAGGTTTGAAAATCATTTACTCTTATGCAGCTATAATTACTTTTAGTATACAAAAAAATATGAGTTCAAATTATAAATATTTACAACTTAATTTTTCTTAATTTTTTTTAAAATATTAATTTTACAAAAACTTAAGTAAAAATATTTTCTATAAATTTAACTGCAATAACTTTTTTTGAAAATTGTTTGAATTGAAAAAGATGTAATCAAGTATCATTAGTTTTGAATATACATATATCAAAAATTGAGTTGTTGGAAATATAGAAACAATAATTACTAGTAAAATACAGAAATAACAATTACTACTAGTAATACTAGTGACAAGTTTCCTGCAATTGTAATAAAGTCTGTTGTTCAAATATTACTGAGTAGTTCTACTTAGGTTGACACCACAAGAATTGAGAAAATTACAGAACTTGTTGATATAAAGCAAGTGCCACGATTTGAATGTATGTAAGCTGGCCTTCCTAATAAAGTGAAAAGTTGAGTTTACGTATAATTACAGTTGAAATATCAACTGTATTTAAACAGTCATGATATCTCAATTGAAATATCAATTGAGATATCACGAAATTTAAAGGGAAATCTTGAAAACTCATTAACAACTGTTCAAAAATATTTGTTGCTTGATGAAGGCAAAATAGGTCCTTTAAAATCCATACTTATTCACTCAATAGGTTAAGTAGATTTTATTAAGTGTGGTTAAAATTACTTACATAGTATTTAGGTTTTAATTCAGCACAAATTTGACACAAAGAAATGGATTTTTTTACATCATCAATTGAAAAAAGGCAGATATTTTGAAATAATACATTCTAGTAACTCCAGGGTTACAAAAAGATTCATATAGTTTCTTAAGAGAGGGTCCATTTATAGTCATAAAGCAGCAAGATCTAGAGAGGGCATCAGCAACAAAATTATTATGTCCAGGGTGATAAATTATAGTATAGCTGTACGAAGAAAGTTCTATCCTTCATCTCAGAATCTTGTCATTCTTAATTTTTCTACTCTTGTTATTGTCAAACATAAAAGGGATCCAGCACTGGTTGGTGACTAGGGTAAGTGTTTTCATTTTTAAAGTGATTAGACGATTACATAAGCTTCTTTCTCAAAAGAAGAATTTTTTTTTCAGTAGGTGATAGTTTGCGAGAAAAAAATGCAACAGGTATTCCAGGTTGATTAAGAGAAGCAGCTATGGCAAAATGGAGACATCTGTTCCTACCTCAAATAGGATACTTTCATCAAAAGTTTGTAGAGCTGAAATAGAGATTAATTCTTTTATTTTATTGAAACATATATTAGTTTCAGCTGACAGTGGAAAGGTAGAAGTTAGAGGTAAAGGATGAAATTTGTCAGAAAAATGTTTGATATATTGGGAATATTATATATGGTTTGATATATGGGAACATACCGCAAACATAGCTTATTTAAACATATTGAACGCAAATATAGCTTTCTTAGAAGCTTTGAGAAATTTCTCAACATAAAAAGTCAACACAAAAATTTTCTTTAAGTCTCATTTCTCCAAGTCAACAACAACAACAAAAAAATACTTTATACAAAAAAAATTATATTTTAGACTTTTTAAATTTTCAAATATTTTTACATAGCTTTAGGTCAAAGATTGATGCAATTTCTGAATGCACACAAGTACAGTCCCCTTATCTCAGTTAAGTCACAGTATTGGATAAAATACTCAAAGTTCTTGGATCTAATGAACCTGTAAACAATAGAAATAATTGTTAATATATGCTCTATCCACACAAAAGCACATAAATAAAAAATGATAGTTCTCTTGAAGATATGAACTGGGTTTGTGAAAAACTAACTATAATGATGGTATAAGGTTGTTTGAAAATAAAAATAAAATAATTGTGTTTTACTTCAACTTCACTTTAAATGTATCTTGGAAGAACACAGAAAAATGTACCAATATAAAAAAACTCATTAAATGAAAGAACTTACTTTTATGCAATCAAATAAATTATTGGTTTTTAGTTTTTTAAATTAAGATTCTATTTTTTTTTTTTAAATAAAACAGTTACAAATTTATTACAGCTTATGTTTTTGTATTCATTTAACAAACAATATGCAATATACAAAGTTAAATATGGTTATGATTTAAACCACGAGTTTCAATACTAAAGTCTAAATGCCTAACTAATGACAATAAGTAAATTAACTTCTATTGTTGATATATTATGACAATAAGTAAATTAACTTCTATTTTTAATTTTAATATTACTTTTTATTATTTCTAGTAGATTCAGATATTTTTTGAACTTTTTTTTCAAGTATTCTTCCAGGTTTCTGATGGTTTGATTCACATTAATAGTTTTTGTATAAAAATAGGGTTTAAAATTACTTTTATGCTTAACTTTTTATGTTTAACTTTTATGTTAAATTTTTATTTTATGTTTAACTTTTACTTATCATTATAAATATGTAGTATCTCTTTTGATGAATAAATTACTTAAAATTGTTAATGCATTAGTAATATATTATCACTGCTAATTAATGTTACTCAAAAATTTTGACAAAGTTTATCAAAACATTCTGGGTATCAATTGAAAATAACTATTAATCGTAAACAATGAAATTAATCTTTGATAAAAACATAAAGTTTTGTAGATAACTAACAATATGGATGGAAACAATTGTCAGGTGCCACCATTTTCACACTTTGCTACTAAACTTTTACACGAAGGGCAAGAGCCTGAACAGTGGGAGTCAAGAGCTATAATTCCTCCAATATCTTTATCCACAACATTTAAACAAGACAGCCCTGGTATTCATCATGTATGTAAATTAATTTATATTATTTTAAAAATTAAAGCTTTAAAATTTGACATCTGGGATATATTTGGTGAGCATGATGTATTACAATGGATACTAAAGCACATTGTATTACAATGGATACTAAAGGTTTTTCAAGCAATAATCTTATAATAAAAAGAAAAAGTAAGGGCTATATTTTTAAAACAACATTAAAAATAGAACTTGAACAGGTATTTTTTTTTTGTAACATTAAAAAGTTACAAAATTAGAAGTTAAAACAAGTGAGAAAATCAGATTTTAAAATTACCAAATTTAAATAAAACATAAGCAAACATATTTAAACTATCTATTTTTAATCACTTGTTTTAGCTGTTTCAGCATATCTGCCGAGCTGTGATTCAAATGGATAATAAAATGTGCAAAATTATGGCATGATATTTAATGTATTAGATGTTGCGTATTTAGTTGGTTAAATTTTTTAGGGATACGAATATTCCAGGAGTGGCAATCCTACTCGATCTTGTTTTGAAAAATGTGTAGCTGCAATGGAAGGCGGAAAATATTGTGGGTTTGATTCTTATTTTAAAGTTAACTGTAGTGAAAAGTTTTAATTTAATAGAATTAAATTAGTATTTGTTCCAAGTTTTTTAACTTGTTACTTTACTTAATTTTATAAATTTAATTATCTACAACAACAATTTTATTGGAAAAAGCAACAAAGTCAAAATTTATATTAAATTTTTAATTTTTGTGAAACTTGAAATATGGTATATGATTTAGCTTATGCATGCTTTAAAAAGAAAAATCTGGTCCAAAACAAAGTTAGACATAACATCATGCAACTAGGATTTCTGAAAAACAGTGGTTTTTAAAAACAGCTGTTTTACTGTTTTATAATTTTCAAAAACAGCTGTTAACAGCTGTTTTTCTGTTTTGGACATTTGCACCCCTCCTCCTTTATTACTCCTACCACCCTCCTCGAATTAAGCAGGCATGAGTAAAATTTTTTACAATAATATATATCCTAGCATAAACTTTACATTTTATAATAGTATTTCAAAAATACAAAAGCTGATAATGACTTATCTCAAAGTTGTGATCTTATTTTTGTTTAAACGTTGGCACACACAAATAATACTCTTTCAACATCCGTAAATGTGGGCCTAATTGTTAATAATGCATCATAAAGTTTTTGTAAGTTTTCTGTACGCTAGCCTGTATTCTTAAAAAGAGTAAAAAAAAAAGAACACCAAAAAGTTAAAATGCCAACATTTCTGCAAAAGTTATCATATCTCTGGATGGTGTTATTGTAGAATTCTTTAGACAGCGTAATAAATTCATGACATCTGTATTCAGGCGTTCATCAACTTTAATTCTCAAATTATCCATCAATTTTTTGCTAATTTCACTGTTAACTAAAGAAAGTTTCTCAAACATAAATTCTAAAATCGTGTCAGCGCTTATCATTCTAAAATCGTGTCAGCGCTTATCATTCTAAAATTGTGTCAGCATCTTCTCTACTAAGATTCTCTATAACAAGTTTAATGGAAACTTAATTGCCTCTAGTAAACCTTTCAAGGCATCGAAGTCTACATTATTGGCTAAACTGCCAATAATGTAGACTTCGATGTAATAATCTTCCTTAAATTCTAATAAAGTTTCTTGACTTGTCATCTTTATCAATGGCTCTAACATTATTGGTTTTGTGTTCCAACGAGTTTTTACATCAAGATGAAGTTCATTTTCTTTTCCAAGTAAAGCCTTGACTTTTGATTAAAAAACTTGATTTTGAACACTTGACAGTTTGATGTATTTTATCAGCATGTGTGAGTTCTTAAGTAAATTATTGTAGTCAATATAATCTTCGCAATCATCATTTATAAATTCAAAATTGGTGCCTTCGTCAAAAGAATCATTTTCATTGTTATATCATGTTTTTTTGTATAAAGTGTGTCACATACTTTAAGATGTATACCATGATTAAGACAAAATTGACCAATAACATCTGAATTCCGAATATATTTCTTGTTTACAAATGCTCCATCCTGAGTAGATGCAACCAAATCTTTTTACATCGATATTCCAAACACATTTAAATGTTGTTTCATTATTTCAACCATATCAAGCGCACTGCATGAGCACAAAATTCAAATTAATCCTGTTTTATACATGATATTGTCAGTTTTATCATGAATATCAAACTATCATTAACTCAAAATAATCTTCGTTCTCTTAAAGTAGTAACCTCATCGACAGTCATTTTAAAACTTTACTTTATTGGCTACTTTTACAGGCTTGGACAGGAATGGCGTGTGATCGCACTGTGTAACTGACCACATCATTTTATTTTTTTCTTTACAACTTGACCACAGCTATTTAGATGTTTTAACAATTTAAATGCAATAAAAAGTGTTTTGTTGTGAATAACTTTTAATTGTTGATCTATTCTAAAGTTGTTATTTTACCCGAAGGCTTTAAATAAAACCATATAACTAATTGTAATGATTGTTTACATAAATGCATGTATAAATTAATAAAAAAATGTTATATATAATTTTTTTTTAATTAGGCATGTTTTTTTTATGATAAATTTAAACGTTTAAAACTATTTTTCCATGTCTTCCTAAAAATCTTTTAAATCATTATTTTCAGAAAGAATTTTCTTTAAGTTACTTAAATTAATGAATAATTAAATAGCTTTTACACATTTTATGTGAATTATACAAGAATATAAAATAACTTTATTTACTTATATAAGCATGTATTTTGTTGATTAATGTAAAAGTTTTGAAGCATTTTGTAATGTTCATACGATTAATTTTTATAATTAAACTTACGATTTTTTAAAATCTTAAACAAACATTTTATTTTTTGAAATTTTTTTTTTTTTTAATTACAATAAGAATGAATGAATTTAAATCTTTTATAATAATTTTTAAATTCTTTACGTGAAGCGCTTATTAATAAAGTTGTAATGCTCAAATCGAAATTAAATTAAACTGCTTGTTGGCAGTTTATTTTATTGAAATCGCAGGCGCATTTTATTTGTTTATTTTTTTCCTATTTATACAAATAAAAAAATTAAAAACCATTTTTTTTAACTAGACATTAATTAGAGCATGAAATTATTAAAAATTACTATTTTAAAAAGACTATGTTATTTTTTTAAACAATTTTTTTTTTTTCGCAACTTTTTTTTAAAAAATGTTTATACAATTTAAAAGTATTATACTTTTACAACACTTTTTAATAAATTTGATAAAATTTGTTCATTAAACAATCATCAGAAGTAATTTGTTACTTAATTTAAAAGCGTTTTGCTTAACTTTATTAAAACTTCTTATCTCAAACATAATTAAAAATGTAACAAAAAATTTTGCTTGGAATTTAAGTTTTTATTTTTTTATTTTTATGCTAGTGTTTATAAAATTTCTTTTTCGTAAAGAATTTTTATTTGTTTCTTTTTTCCTTAGGAATTATTTTTTTGTTAGTTTCTTTTTTTAACATTTTTTCCTAGTTTAAGTTTAGCGTTTCTACATTCAGCGCATTTCTGAAATGTTTAAATTATCAAAACATTTAAACCATTGTGGTCAAGTTGTCAAGAAATAAAATCATTTGCGTGGTCAGCAATAGCGCTTGATTGCACGCCATTCCTGTCCAAGCCTGCTTTTAACTTTATGGTGTCAATCATTTTATTTTGCTTTTCATCAAAATCTTTGTGCAAAAGTGTCATAACATCACTTTTGTTAGCAAGAAGTTTAAATCCATATTGAGTTATTGGCTGGCGAATGTGTTTATTTCTGGCTATATCTTGAACTGAAATGCCATTCGTAGCCAGAAACAATATTTTGAAGAAATATTTTATCAGAAACAATATTTTGAGGTTTCTTTTGCGCAAAAAAGTCAACAGTTTTTTGTCTCTTCTTGTTTGCTCTCTCATCTGTTAGTATGATTGATTCTTTTGTCTCATCTAAACAAAGTCCTTGACTTTTTAATGTAGTTGTGAATTTCCTGAGCATTTTATTATTTTGTTACAACGCTGACACTGTCCTTTCAACTCTTTTGTAATTGGATTTTTCCATTTTATTGCGTTTATCCAGACTGACATTGCTAATAATATGAATAGAAAGTAAGGATATTAAGTAGCCATTTTACTCACCGTTAAGAACTAATTCATAACTAGTAACTATGTATTTGTTTTTTAGTCGATGTAAATAAGAAACTGATACTAGAAGCCCTATTTTTAACTCTAAAGAAACTCCAAAGAAACCTTTAAGGAACTTTTAGTACTAGATTAGTAAAAGAGAACTATCAAAATAGGAAATTCCTTGTACTAGCCTGTGTCATTAATTATTAAAGTTACTTATTATCCTATATTTTATTTATCAAATTGTTATTGACAAATAAATCAAATTAAATTACTATTCAAATTGCTTTAAAAAATGTGTTGTTATATTGTTAATAAAGAAACTTTTCTCTTAGCAATTGTTAATTTTTAAAATATAAATAATTAAACTTTTATCTGTAAGGGTTCGAATAAAAAAATTCGAACATTTTCAGATTTAAATGAAACTTAATGCAGTTAAAACTCATTATAATATTGAAATAGAATTTAGTTGTTATGCAAATGCATAAAAAAAGTTCCAGTTAATTTTTGTCACTTTAATTTCAATTAAAAAAACAGTAAAAAAAGTAATTAAATTTTTTTTTTTTCTTTGTAAAAAAAAACAGCTGTTTTACTGTTACTGTTAAACAGTGTTCAGAAACCCAACATGCAACATCCATTATTAAATGTTTTTTACATGCAATGTAATGCTTTCTTTTTTATTGTCATTATTTTTCATGTTTAAATCTAATTCATAGAATAAAAATTAATATTTTTAGGCTTATCTTTTGCATCTGGATTAGGAGCTTCCTCTACTATAATGTTATCAATAGAATCAGGTTCTCATGTTATTTGCATGGATGATGTTTATGGAGGTAATGTGTTTAATTTTATTAGCTATCTAATTATCTAATTATATTAGTTTTCTTTTTTATCAATGTGTTTATATGATCTAAAAATTACACTAAAAAGTAATCACCCAAGTGGAAAAGAAAAAGATTAAGATCATTTTGAAATAGTGCAAAAGAATAAAAAATACAGAAATAAAAAATTAAAAAAACGAAAAAAGAGAATAAGGAAAACATGTAGTTAAAGTACGTGTACTAAAGAAAGCAAATATAAATTAAAAGACAAAAAAGTTTATAAATAAAATTGAGAGAGCTAAAAATGAAATTGGTAAACTAGATAGGTTTGATCATTTTTATTATTTTTTATATTTTAATTCGCCGCCATAAAGCCATAAATGTCACTATAATCATAGTCTATAACTCCAAAACAAAACTTTTGGCGAGCAAGGCATCTACACAGAAAAACAATTTGAGCGTGGTATTACCAAGGACGTTTTGGCGATAGAGTTTGGAACTTCTTGCTTATGAGGCAAGCTCTCTACCACTACACCACTACTGCATGTAGTGGCGTAGTGGGTTTTAAATATAAAAGAATCAAACAAACTATTTAAACAATCTTAACCGTTTTATTATCTATAACTGTTTTTTTATCTTCATATCTTCTTTAAAAATATTGTAGGTTTTATTATTAGTATGTGTTTAATGTCTTTAATGTGTTTAAATAATCACTACTTTGATCAGATTTTGGTTCAAGTTGTTTTCATATATTTTTTAAAGACAACATCTTAATCAATTATTTGCATAGTTTTATTTGCTTATTTGATATAAGCAATTAATTGTAACTAATTGCTTATATTGTCATTTATTACTTTTAGCATTGTTATTATTTTTGCTGTTATTATTATGACTATTGCTATTGTTATTATTATTTTTTTGAACTTTAATGCTTTTTTATGTGATTGTTGTTTTTGTGATTGTTGTGATTGTTGTTGTTGTTGTTATTGATGATGTTATTGTTGATGCTGTTTATTTTAGTAAATTTTACTAATTTAATATTCTTAATTATTCACATAAAATCTACACTAAGAATTGTTTGTGATGTCAGTATAACAGCTGTAAATTATTGGTGCAAAAAATTAATAGTTTTTGTCTTTTTTTGTTAATTTTTGTCTTTTTTTCTTAATTTTTATTTTAATAATTATTTTAAAACAATCTAAAGCATTTGTTTACAAATGTATTTAAATTTTTTTTTACATATAGTTAGATAGTATACTATATACTACTTGTATATAACTTTTATTTACTAATTGTATATAATACTATTTGTTTATATTTTTTAAATTTAATTCTTTAAACTTTTTTTTTTAATTTAACTTAATTCATTATCAATTCTTTGAGTTTTTACTAATTACATTTTTTAAAATAAAAACATCATTTCTCTTACAGGTACTAACAGATTATTTTCAAAAGTTTGGGCAAAAAGTGGTCTTGAATTTGATTTTGTAGACTGCAGAGATATTGATCTGGTTGAAAAACATATTAAACCTGGAAAAACTAAGGTTAATTACATTTTATAGTTTTATATATTCTTGGTCATTTGTTTTTTTTTTCTTTGTAACTGCATTAACTGTTAATTATGTTTATTTAAAAACTTTGGCATATAAAATTCGCTGAATGATCATACACAAGCAGTGAAAACCTGAGGGAAAAAATGAAGTACATTAGAATATAGGAGAACTATTTTTTTAACAAAGCATATTTTGACAGTTGTCAAGACAAAAATAAAGATTAATAGAGGAATATTGAAAAATAGACAGACGATGCACCTAAAAAGTACTTAACAATAATAATAATAAAAAGTATATTGTTTTATAAACACTAATATGAATGAAGATATACAACAAATATATAACTAAACAAATACTTATAAAACAAAAAATTGATTACAAAATGAAAAGTATGCTTACAACAATGGAAGGCCTCTGAATGGAATAAAAACATTAATGCTTATGTGTAAACATAATTTGTGTAGTGATTAAGCAATAAACATCTCCTCAGAGTCGCGTCTATTATTACTGGCGTTTTGATGAGGATCAGCGCTTATAACTAGTTTATCCTGTCAGACAAACGTCAACTCCAATTATGCTTTAACCCGAGACTTACACCTATTCCATACTGCAGTAAAAAAGAACTCACTACAAATACCTGAAACCCAACCAACCCTCAAATTTGTAAAGCACCAATATTTTTTTGATGATATGATATTAAAAGTATAGATCTACTAAACAAACAAAAATAAAAATAACTAAATAAATCACTTACCATACCACTGAAAGAAAACATGAAAACACAATAAATTAAAATTCTAATAAAAACATAAAAATACTAATAAATTTATTTTAAGACTTATAAAGCCAAATAGGTGCTATTAGCATAAACATACCAAAGACAATCAGAGAGCAGTATACCTCATAAAAAAATTTTTTTAAATCAACAAAACAACAGTAGTCTTCAATAAACTCTGTCTGTCTTCAATAAACTCTGTCTAACGCTGTCATAGATTCCTCGTTCGAAAAATGATAACCAATCAAAAGTGTAGGAAAATGAGCAACCGGCAAAACCCAGTCATAACAATAATTGAACAATCTATGATAACGAGAAAAAAAAACGTCACACAAAAACCATTAAAAATGTCACCCGCATAAATGTAAATATGTAGTGAAGGATATAAAAAAATTCTCTGAATAATAATAAAAGATGGAAATTGTGCATGTGAAAGTTAAAACAAAGCTGAGTAATGAATGCAAGATAATATAACATAAAAATTCCTTGTTTGCAGTGATTATATGAAAATCAGCAGATAAATAATATATTAATAAATATTTTAATAAAACTAACTAAATATTGTAATAAAACCAGATAAATTTAAGACAAATGAATGGTTAAGATTTAAGACAAATGAATAATGAATAATATGAAAAATGAATAATGAATAAATTTAAGACAAATGAATGGTTAAAAATTTGTTTTGGGTGATATAACAATGATATGTCTATAGTTTTATATATTCTTGATAATTTTTTTTTTCTTTATAACTGTATTCCATCTTGTTAATTCTGTAGGATTAAAAAATTTATTGTCGTTCAACTTTTGATTGAAAAACATGAAAAGATTCTGAAATTATTAACACAGCAAATTTCTACTACTCAATTTCAGAAATAATGCCAAAAGAAGTATTTGAACTTTTATATATAACAAACCTTGTTGTAACAAACAAAAATATTTTCATAAAATATTTATCAAAACTTGAAAAAAGCTAAACTCAAAGATCAATCCTGTAGTAATTACTGTAATCTTTTTATAATTGTTTTATTATTTTATTATTAATTTTCTATCGTTGTTTTCAAAATATAAAAATAAATATTTATTACTTATATGTTTGTCCAAAATAATTAAAAAGCAGGCTATGCGCTATAGTTAAGACCAGGAAATTATCTTGTAAATAAAATAACTTTTATTTTGGTTCTAGTTCAAAATAAAACAGCAAATAACCAGTGATAAAACTAATACTAAAATAAGACTAAAATAATGCTAAAACTGTTTTTAAAATTTGACTCTTAGAAAAAGTATTGAACATTGAAAAAGGACATGAAAAGCCGTCGGCATGCTTTCTTAGAAACAAAACTCTGCAAGGATGCTAAATTATATAAGGATGTACCTCAAATCAAATGCATTTTACCATAAAAGAAAAATTTTGAAATTATTTTGCATGATTCTTTAAGTTACTTCAGCTAATGCTGATCTTTATGTTGTAAATAATTTATGTAAAGTAGACCTAGAAACTATTTGGCATGTCTTTGTATCTTTTTAAACTGTGGTTAAATGGCAAGTATTATTTTAAATTTTTTTATTGTCTAGTGTTACATACTAAGAAACATATTTATTAAATATATTAATAAATTATGTAGCTTGATACTTATAAATGACCAAAGTGGTCTCATGATATGTTCCAACATTTCCTGCCATTGAAGCTAGTTGTAGTAGATAATAGGGTTAGTTTATCTTTGTTGCTATGCTCTTGCTAAGAAGCAATTGTTATTCAAAGTAGGTTTAAAGAAAGATACTCTGTTGTACCTTTTTTTAAATAAAAAATAGAAGACTCTATATAGTTTATCTTGGAAAATAAGCAATTCTATTGGTTTCAGCATGCCTAATAATGTCAAGAAAAATCTCGTTACATAAGCATATAAATACAGTTATGTGGTTACTCATGGGTTTTTTGTTTAATAAACTCAAGGTGTTTAGTTTATATTTATGTCTGTGTATGTATGTGTATATATATTCACATAGATCAGCAATTGCTCACTAATTTTGCTTATCTTGATAACAGACTTTTTCAGAAAAAGAAGAAAAAAATAAAAAACAATGAAAGAAAAGATTGCTGCCCCATCCCAAACTCTTAGTTGATGTAACAGCACTCCTTTGTGGCAGTAGGCTATAAGATAGTCGATGTATGTACTGATGCCTCTGGCAGCAGGCTATTTCAGTGTGATGTCCTAGTGCACATCTAAACATGCATTTATATTATATATTTATTTTATTAATTTTTTTTTAAGATTATATATATATTTATATATATATAATTCTTACTCTTTGTTTAGTTGATCTGGATTGAAACTCCTACCAACCCTACAATGAAGATAGTGGATATACAAGCAGTTTCTAATCTTGCACATAAGTATGAGGTGGGCTAAATTAATTTGGAATTTTTAAGGTTTTAATGTTAATGTTATATTTTTTTGTTTTATATTTATATTGTATGTTCATGATTATATTTACATTTGTAGCATTTTTGAACTTTAAGAATTATAATTCATTTCTTAACTTTGCTATTTTAGGGTATCTATGTACTTGTCGATAACACATTTATGTCGCCTTACTTTCAGGTACCTTATATATTTAGGACTGAAATTTGCATAAAAATATCTAATTGTAAAAGTTTTTCATAATTTTATCTCTCTCTCCTCTCTAGATAGAGGGTTAAAGCTATAAAAAACCTTTAGGAATATTTGGGGATTATGTACAAAACATATATTTTAAACAGTTATATAATTTTATAATTGTTTTTACTATTTTATAACATCTATCACAATTTTCCTATTTAGAATTTTTAAAACAACTAAATAAATAGCATCATTTGATTAAATAGTTAAACGAATCTGTTTTCATCAATCTATTGATATATTTTATAAAAAGAGTTTTATGATTCTAGGTCATTTACAAATAGTATGAACTAATCTGAATTAAACACTATTTATGGTATTAATGCTTTACATATAAACTAAATATTTATACAAAATTATGCACAAAGACCAAAACAGTTTTATTGCGTATATTAGATTCTAGTTTTTTACATTAACAGTTTAAATAGAGTTTTTAAATGTTTAGTATTTTCATTTATTTCTACTATTTTTTTTACTTCATTATTTAGAAGTTAAGTGCTTTTATTTTTATTATTATAAAATTCTTAAGAAGCTTTTCTTAAGAAGCTTTTTTTATAAAAATTTTCATGAAATTCTTAAGAAGCTTCATTTTTTTCATAAGAATTTTTTCTTAAAAAGTTTTTCTTTATGCATATTGTAAAGTGCATTAAAATGTATTTTACATTATTCAATTTTTTTCATAAGAATTTTTTCTTAAAAAGTTTTTCTTTATGCATATTGTAAAGTGCATTAAAATGTATTTTACATTATTCAATTTCTGCATAGTTGCACTTTATTGCCTTTTATTTGTATATGTACTTTATGTACATGAGTTGTCAATGTTAGTGTCATATCGATATAGGAAAAGGCAGGGCTTTATTACATATATCGATTGAAGGCGAAGGTTCAGACAGCACTAACTATATATGAGGATATGTTGAAAAATTTTTTTTTTTTTTTTTTAATTTTTTTGAAAAAAAGTTAATAAAGTTATGGTAAAACTACAGATTATAAAAGCCTACAATAAAATAAAAATAAAAAAAGATATTCTGTGAAGACGAAATTATTAGGATAGAACAATTTTTATACAAAAAATTTTTATAACAACTTATATAAAAACACAAATCATTTTATATTTCCAACACTGAAAAGTAAAAAAAAATGAGGGTCTTGAATGCCCCCCTACTATATTTTTTACATTCTCTACAATATATCTCTAGGACTGTATATTTTTGATATTGTCTACGATATTTCTCTAGAACTGTATATTTTTGATATTGTCTACAATATTTCACTAGGGCTGTATATTTTTTATATTGTCTACCATATTTCTCTATGACTGCATATTTTTGATATTATCTATGTTATTTCTCCAGGACCGTTTATTTCTGATATTGTCTATGATATTTCTCTAGGACTGCATTTTTTTAATATATAGTTTCACAATTTTAATACCAACTTAGGCACACTGTAAAAATTTATTTTAACAAGAATATATCTTTGGCAATATTGCACAATTGTTATTGTAACAAACATATAAGCTAAAGTGTAAATATACTTGTTACTAAGCATATTACAATGTATATGCTTGTTACTAAGCATATTACAATGTATATGGTTGTTGCTAAGCATATTACAATGCATATGCTTGTTACTAAGCATATTACATTGTATATGCTTGTTACTAAGCATATTACAATATATATGCTTGTTACTAAGCAAAAGCCTCCTATAATTGTATTAGGACAACTGTTTAGAAAAGGTTTAAAATTAGGTTACCCTTGAACCTAAGGTATTTTAATGATCTTTTAGATTGATAATGTTCTTTAAAAACTCTATGAGACAATAATATCATATTCTATTAGAACAATTTTTTCCTTGAGTACCGAAACATAATTCTTTTTTAAGTAATATTGTGACAGTTTGTAAATTTTTGGCAGTCGAAATAGTAATTTTGAAAAAAAAAATTAATGAAACAAGACAAAAATGTATTTCCTTGAACTTTAAAAAAACCTGTTAGTTAAAATATTATTTTTATTTTGAACAGCACTAGCCAAACAAATTGTCTAGGTTGCCCATATATACAATTTTGTCCCATGAAAATTATAAAGTTTACTTTTGTTGTTTATGTTGTACGAATTTAACTTTCCATATTTGATTGTTAAAAAGTTTTACTGATGTTTATAAACTAAACGCTATTTTTTTATGTTTATGTTTCATGATTAAGCTTATATTATTATTTGCATATTTCAAGTTGCTTTTTTTAATAATTGCTAATTATTAAAAGAACTGAAAAGGTGTAGGTCCTTGGGTTACCCTTTCAGTCATTTTGTACTATATGATAAACATTAAAACTTGATTCACGGAGAAAAGTGGTTTAATTTTTAATATAAACATACCATTCATTGGTTGTTAAAAAAGTATAACATTACTGATTTGACTTTTGATTTGCTTCTGACTTGCTCCTGACCTGACTTTTGAGCATGTTTAGATGCTGTAACCCAGTTTCATTTAGCTTGTTTAAAAAATAATTTGATATGTTCCTTATCTATTATTACGAATCTCTTAGGAGGAGTCTTTTAATAATACTTCTATACTAATTTGCCTGTTTGTAAAAACATTCTTTGAGTTATTTGACTAATTGCGCTTTTGTTTTCTTCACTGTATCACCTTTCTATGCTTTTGTTTAGCATCTCTTCACTAAATCACCTTTTCTTTGTTCTCCTTTGTTTTCCTAATTACTATAACCTTTTTTTTTATTTTTTCTTATCTAATTGACCGAGATCTTTCTTTTTATCCATCAGCATTGTTGTTGTTATTGGTGATTTTAATATTCATCACACTGAATGGCTGAATGAATGGCTTGGCTCTAATAACACTGACCCTGCTGGCAATTAAAAAATCAAAATTTTTGTTTCTCACTTACTCACGTAACTTTGTGGCTGTCTTAATCACTCCTTGATTTGTGTCTTTTCTTTGACCCTAGCTTGTTCTCTGTTTCTTCTTGTTCTCTTTTTAGTGGTTCAGATCATGCTACTATCTCACTAAAACCTTGATCTTGAACTTTTTTTTACACCAGATTCACTTAATTTCACTCTACTAACTTGAATCTGACTCGGATTCTTTTTATAATTTTCTTTGTAATGTTCCTTGGGCTAATGGTAAAAAATGATGTCTCTTTAAAATCTGGATTTAGGCAGATATGGAAGCATTTATTCCTTCTTGTTGGTTTTAAGTCAAGCCTCTACTCCACGTTTTTTACCTTTTTGTGCAGTTGCTATATTAAAGCATAAATCTTGTATTTTATTTCAGTTCAGTTCAGACAATGGATCCATCATATTCTTACAAAAGTGTTAACTCTTTAATTCTCTATTAATAAATGCTAAATAAGTGGTTCCAACTTTTAAATACCTCAAAAACACTCTGACCTCTAAGAGGAAAATCTTGGGAATTTAATTATCTTAAAACCTTTATAAAAAGAAACTAATAATATATTAATTGAAGGATAGTTGAAAAGGTGACCTCTTCAACTATTCTACAATTGATGTATTATTAGTTTCTTTTTATAAAATTTCTTTTTTAAAAATACTAAGTACGGCTTAAAAATGAATTCAAAATGTTATTAGATCTGCTCTAGTTACCAAGATTGAGCATCTATCTCATTGTCATTAGACTGGATCTCATTGTCATTAGACTGGATCTCATTGTCATTAGACTGGATCTCATTGTCATTAGACTGGATCTCTTTCTATTTACTACAAATATTAAATCATAATCCATGCTCGAAGGAGCTTTTATCTTTTGTTCTATCAACTAAAATTTATTATTTTGTGGCTCGTCATTTAGCTAAGTTGCATCCTTTTACTGTAAATGTTCCTTTGTGGTACAAAACCTTTTATTTAGCTAGTTTATTTCTTTGAATGCATATTATTTAATGAAATATTGAATGAAGTTTCTCTCTCTCTCCATGTTTTCCTGAATCATAAACAGTTTTTTAACTGCTGTTTCTTAAGCTTACGTTCTTAAAATTATAAATTAATTTTTTAAATATTTGTCATAATAATTGGACCTGAATTTCATCTGAATATGGCTTGAATTTTATTTTAGGATATTCTTTATCAAAAATTTGATGTTTCAAGTTGTGGCTGAAAACCTTCTTTTACTATTCTATCATTTTAAATATGGTGTATTGATTTTTGCTGTCTTAATGTTAAATTTAAGTGCGAAAGAGTTAAAAATAGCTTTTATAAGATTTATTTAGAAGAAACATTGTTTTAAGTAAAATACCTTCACCTTAACTATGAAAAGTTAAAAAATATAAATTTGCTTATTCTACTTCCACTTACACCAACTAAATGGATAACATTATTAGATCAATGATCTGGATCCATAAAGCAATTCATTGTAAGTCACCCTCACCTTATTTATTCTTTAAATAAAAAGTTTAAGTTACTTCCTATTTATTCTTTAAGTACTGTTTTTTAATTATAACATCGTCTAAATACATAAATATAATAATGACCTTCCAGAAGTATAAGAAAGAAAAAAAAAAAAACAATAACAAAAAAAGCAATAATTAACCAAATATTTATTAAAAATAGCAAAAAATAAGTAATAAAGACAGTCTTGAGAAATTATATTATTCATGCAGTAGAGTAATTTCTCTTTAAACTAGTTCCCACAATGAATTATCAATTTTGCTATTTGTAAAAATTGAAAAAAATGTCTAATCTGAGGGGGTGGGAGGAATGACTTTTCTCCTATTAAATGGAATTACCCTGTCTAACTGTTTGTTTTTCAGAAACTTAAAGTATAAATTTAAAATTATAAAATAAAAAATTATTAAATAAAAAATTATTAAATAAAAAGTTATTAAATAAAAAATTATTAAATAAAAAATATTAAATAAAAAAAATTAAATAAAAAATTGTTAAATAAAAAAACTAATTTAAAAAATAATTTTGGTGTTAATAAATAAATTACAGTATCATTTTCTATAGTTTATGAAAAAATAAATACAGAAGAAAAAAAAAAAAATACAGTTGATCTCATGTAATTCGAATCCTCAAAGGGTCTTAAAATTACTGGAGTTTAAGAGTTTAATCCTAAATGTTAAATGTGGAACCAAAGAATTTGTTCAGTTTAAGTTAATTTTTAAATTATAGGAGTTTAAACTTCTACACTTAAACAAGAGTTCAAATAGAAATTAAACTTAAAGTTCAAATAAAACCTAAACTTAAAAAATCAAATAGAAGCCAAGCTCAAAGTTCAAATAGAAGCCAAACTTAAAAAATCAAATAGAAGCCAAACTTAAAGTTCAAATAGAAGCCAAACTTAAAGTTCAAATAAAAACTTAAACTTTAAACTGAGTTTTAAAGAAAAAGATTAGTTTTAAGCAAATTTATTTTTATCAAATTTTAGCAAAATGATTATTTTTTTGTGAAATAATTTAAATCTATGAATTATTTTCTTTGTGGAACTTAAAAATTACATGTGGTTTCTATATAAGTGGTTATTTTGCATTATTTGTCTGTAATGGTAAAGAATTCAGAAGATTCAAAATGCTCGAATTAAAAAATAAAAAAATACTCTTGACTATTGTTTTTTTTTTATGATTTTTTATTTAAACTTTCAAGTTTTTAAAAGTTATATAAATTTTTTTCTTCACATTTTTATGTTTAAAATTGTGTTGATAAAGATGTTTATATAAAGCATTTAGTATTGCATGCATTATTAAATTTTTTTAAAAAAACACCATAATATCTCATAAACCTAATGTTGAAATAAAAATGTTTATGTTTGTTAGAAACCTTTTTATTTATTTAATTTTTTTTTTATGTTCATTTATTTTATTAAATTTGTTTATGTTGCCATAAATACTTTTAACATAGAGACCGCTAATGTGGGGTGCTGATCTTGTTCTTCATTCGGTAACTAAATATATAAATGGTATGTTCTGCTTTTTTGAAATATATATTGCACATTTTACTTAAAATAAATGTCACAAAAAGTTTTTTTTTTTTTGTTATTTATGTTTTTAATTTTTGTTTATCTAGGCCACAGTGACTGCGTGATGGGTGTCATAATAACAAGTGATGAGGCTCTCCATGCAAAGCTTAAATATTTGCAAAATGGTAATTATGTTTATTATACTATAATATTATGTTAAGAAAAAAAAAGGATCTTGGTACATATTAGTATTTATACGTATTAGAGTAGCATCAATGCCTACTTTTAGCTGGTGCCATTGAATACATGCTCATGCCTCAATTCTATATTTAAATTACACCTAACAATACCTAAATATATATTGTATTGTAAATTATTTTAAACATAATTTTTTAACAGGAATTTAATTCTTGGTTATAGAATTGGTAAATAATATAATTAAAAGAAAATATTTGATATTAATGAAAATAATCCTTCAAAGGCATTTTGAAAACATTTATTTCACTAATTTATGAAAAAAATATACATAATGTAGGCAGATTTTTCAAGTTTCATCACTGAATAACTTTCATTCATTAAGAGCACACCGCATTAACTCTAAGTTTAAGTCAAAAACATCAGTGGTTGAACTTAAAAAAATTACAGGTTCTTACACAGGTATAAGGGTATAAGAGTTTTTTTGAGGGTTTTTCAAATAAATGGAAATTACCATTACAATTAACTAAAATTTTTTTTTTCTCAAACTGTTGTTATCATAAAGATAAGATAACATGTTTTCATATTGTTTTATAGTAAAAGGGTCTTTGTTTATCAGCCTTGCTTGTCAAGATATTTTTTGGTAGCCATAGTATTGAAAGAGGGTTGTAATTTACATTAGTGTTTTATAAAAAACAAATAAGATATGTCATAAATTATACAATAATAAGCAATTAAGGAAAGTTTAGTG